AAGAAGCGAAAGACACTTTTTGATTTTCCCTACATTCGATAGCTTCAAATGTCTTTTCCACTTGACGAATCCAACGTTCAATAAAGATTGGATCTGGCTTGCCCTCAAAAATTGGTGGTCCCAATATCTTAAAGTGATCTAAGGTATTATTCCTACCCCGTGTAATTTCATCTCGTTCCTCCTGACGCTCAAAGTATCCTCTAATAGCATTGAGGACTCCGTGTACGTCATCTTGAGCATTGACGGGTGCTGGGGCATGAGGGGCATTCTGCGAAGTCGGAGAAGCTGGCCCATAATTAGTGACAGGTGTACGGGAGGACTGGGTTTGTTTTACGATGTGTGGAGCTTCCAAGTTATTATTTGTTTGAACACCTCTCCAAGTGCGTAGACCAATAGCATTGTGACCATGAGCACCCCGAGTGACAAGACCACTAATATCTGGAATTGGCTCCATTACTCCTATAATAGGTTAAAGACAATCATCGGTTAAAGTTAATCAAGGGACCTAATACACCTACAGGCCCTAAAACATGCTCTGATACCATAAAAGATGTCACATCCTGAATTATATATATATATATATATATATATATATATATCTTTCCGCCAAATAGATAAACATCACTTTATTCATCATTCATAAACATTTATTACAATTCATTTATTACAATCCATTTATTCGTCGAGTCATAAATAGAAAAGTAAACATAGTGATGTTAACTTCAAGAATCATCCAAGTTGCTCTACCTAGCGGTAGAGGAAGGTCCGCTCTCCACTGGAATCTGATTTAGTACTAGAGGGAAGCTGTTCTGAAAATCAAAAATAAAAAAAATTCAACAACGCTGAGTAGGAACCCCAAAAGTCAACTCAAAATATATAAATGATCAAAATTCAATCAATCATCCCATTGGCGTATATCAAATACCCGAAGGAGCACTCCCCCAACAGCGAATGGAGAGGCTTTATCATACGGGATGAGTTTGTGTTCTCCCAACAATGGATGAAGGCAAACTCATATCGCACTCCCAACAGCGGATGGAGTGGTATCCCACACCCGCCAAAGTGGGGACACGTTCCTCCCAACAGCGGATGGAGGAACCGTCCAACCGCCACGTCTGATGGCCCGCTAATCCCCGAAGGGAATCGCCCTACCTACTCTCGGCAGGAAAATAATATAATCTCACACTGGTCATGTCCATTTCGGGATGAAATAACATATTTAAAACGTCTCTTTCAAATATCATCAATATCAAATAATATAAATTAGCCCTCAATTGACTTGAACTCTAGTTTAATCGATTCAATTGAACTCGATTACTAGTGCCTAACTGAACTGATCTCTAATTCTTATTTAACTGATCTGGAACCACCATAGGCTAGTATAATTTAGACTAGATTAAGTTCAATTTAGGTTAAACTAACTTGAATAAGTCAATCAATTCGGAATCACCCTGATCTAGACTAATCAAGTCTAGTTTAGTTCAATCAATATTTGGGCTTAAGTTCAACAATAATATTGGCTAGATTGAGCCAGTCCATCTACTAGTCATGTGTATTATATATGATTGAGCATGCATTACACAAAACTGGCCCAGCTTTAGCCCATGGACTAGTCATGTGCGTCGCATGTGACTGCCCATAATGGTTGGGCTGGGGTAGCCTACGGGCTAAGGCCTGACTCATGGGTTGGGCCTGGCCTGTGAGCAATTTCATTCCAATTAATATCCAATTTCATATCATAGCATATATCCATTAACAATATAAATAAAAACATAATAATGCATTAAAAAATAGATGAGGAGAAAAGCTTTAATACAAAGAAATAACATGCTAAATTTGACTAGAAATCATAAGACATTAAAAGAGGGACTCAAAGATAAGTTTTAATACAAGGGAATAGCCTTCTAAATTCAAATAAAAATCATGTTTTCAACTCATATAAAATTTCAACATAGTCTAGTCATATTTTAAATCATTCAGAATAATATATTTTAAATTTCAGATCAAAGAATATCAAAAAAGATTTTAGATAACATATTCTAATCTAACAAGATTTTAATCCAGATAAGATTAAAGATAAACTGTAATATAGAAAATATCATATAAAACAAATATATTTTTAACATATATAACTCTACAATAAAAACCTTAATCATAGGTCAAAGAATATTATGAAAACTTTAACTAATTACTTTAATACAAAAATTTTGATATTTAAAGAATTGATACATATTTTTCAAATAATAAAACTTTCAACATTTAAAGAATCAAAATAAAAACTAAAAATTTTAAATTTAAGAAAAGTAGGGAAACCTACCTCTTGTCAATTGGGTGTAACTCCTCGTTCCTCCCGCTGCCAGACTCACTAGGTGAGGAACAAAGGGAGGAGGTGAGCCTCTATTAAGGAAAATTTATTTTAATTTTCATATTTATTTAATATAAGTTATTTTCATTTAATATGCTAACAAATATGATATCATCAGGAATACTTAATAGTTATTTCCTTAATTCATATCAATAATCAAGGAAGTAGATTAAGATTTTCTTAAATTATAATAATAAATAAGGAAAGAAAATCAATTCCTAACTTAAATATTTGATATGATTACAGTGTCTCTCTTTTCTAAAGTATTAAAGTTTCTACCCCATTCTTTTAACTCTCTCAAAATTTTCCCTCACCCATTTGGGTTTCTGCAGACTAAAAAGCACCAAAGTTTCTTCTACTCAACTATCCTATTTCCTATAAACAAATACTCCTAATCATCTTATCGACGAATTTTAGTCAAAACTACTAGTTTATTCCTCTGTAAATTTGGGCAGAATTCTAAATCAGTCCCTTCTTAACTCATCATGCCTTGACAACTATGCAGATGAGTTTTATAGGAAAAAATGTTAAGAATGGTGAAGAAGCCATTCAAAAGATTTTGGGTGAGGGCCAAAAGTCTAGTGTATAATACTACAAAAAGAAAATACATTCAACATAGGGAAATGAAAACAAATATGAATGTTTGCTTTTGCATCTTTGGCAGGGAATGTGGATAAGTCATGCCTAATAAGCAACTTAAAGATTATAATTATCTCAGTTTCTTTAATGCAAATTCTATGTAGAGGTACTTAGAAATCTGTGAAGGGTCCCACCAAAACCTTCCATTATATTTTTAATCTCAAAGATTTGTCTATCTCTAATGATAAAGAAATATTATAAAATTGATTTGATTAAGACATGATGATACTTAAACTAACAAAATTATGATGGATCCAAACAATTTTTATGAGGGTAATAGCTTATATTTCATATAATTTGCTTCTTAGAAAACATAGTGGATGAATAGTAGAAGAAAAGGATAATCACAGGAAAAAGAATTGGAAAAAATATAGACTGTGGCTAAATAAAACAACTGAGCTCACTTTGTTGTGGAAGTTATATGGCTTTTATACCATATTGTAAGACTCACATTATTGTCGGAAAATATACTTTTTATGAGTTTGTCTGGTGAAAATTCAAGAAAATTTTTAGAGGGATATCATCCAAATTTCTTGGAGAAGCCTTTACATTCTATTTTATCTATTTTCTCTTAGAAAGCAAAATAAATAAGTATAATTTGCTTTCTCCATTCATCTTCTTAAAGCATGAAGTCTTGAACATCTCCATCATTACTGACCTAACTTGATGAGTTCATTTGGTTTCTCCGAGCCATCATATTGTATCTCGAGCCTTAATAATGTGATTTTGGCTGTGAAGAAGAGAATTGTGTTGTCACTAAGTTTTTATATCTTAATAGTTTTCAGACTGTAGCTCTAGAAAAATTCTTCCTTCTTTTACTTTCTAAGTAAATTTTTTTTTGAGAAGTTCTCATGATTTGTTGCTGGGCAAAATTTTTTCTTGTAAATTCCTCTCCAGTCATAGAGATCTTTCTTACACTATGTTAGCAAGACAATGATCCATGTCATATTTTCCATCTTATTTCTTTTCTTTGAATGCTAATTTGATTCTCCTATTGGTCTATGTTTTGATGCAATTTGAGTTATACCTTAAAGAGTTTTTTTTATCAATAGTTTCATGGGGTTTGGCTAGAGGAAGGCCATAATATGAAGAAATCAACAGATATTAATTGATATGCAAGGGAAATTAGACTTCTCCATTAGCAGTCATTATTCCCCCCTTTAAATTATGTGATGATCTAGTTAGTACCAACAGTGAGAATGCAGGTTTGGGGTTGATTTAGGATGTTTATGGAGACATAAAAGCAGTGGAATGTGTGTCGAGCAAGAGGTGCAACCCAATATATGTGGAATGTAAAGCCATAGAAATCAGAGCTTCTTTGTGCTTCCCAGGAAAGATACCACAATATCTGGATGAGCACGAACTACCTTTGAAGCTATCAATCATCTCGATGGAGTTAGTCAGTCTCCTTGTAATCTGAGCGGAGTTTTGTCTTATTGTTCTTACTTAACTCAGTCACTTAATGTGATCAAATGGAATTTTCTTCTTAAAAATGTAAATAAGTTGGCTCAGTTTCCTAAGCTAAGCTATCATCTGGTTTCTCTCACAGTAAAAATGTAATCGTCATGGAATTGCTTTGTTAAACCCCTCTGGCTTTATAGAATAATATAGATAATGTATCTTTCTTGAATGAAATCTTTTGCTCTTTCCAACAAAATAATAATTTTCTTGTCCTTTCAATACTTCTCTTTTTCTTGAATTTTTTTTGGGTTAAAAACATAAAAAAAAAAAAAAACATATAGGACAAATCAAAATAGAATGAACGAGGAGATTTAGTGCTAGAATCCAATCGACATTCATTTCACACAGGAAAGTCCATGGACCTCAGTTTCCCAGATAAAACGTCCAAAAGATAACATCCAAATGGATGGTCAGCTCACTGGGATGATCTTCACACTTGACCAGCATCCGGGCATGACAACACGACCAAGTGAATGCAGCATTGTCCTCCTCAGTTCCCTCTGTCTTTGAGGATGTGTGACTGAGTTGAGTGGTCATGGTGTTCCATCAAATCATTCATTTGACAACCAGACAGAGCCAGCAGGCCTTGCTGCTGATGACCATGGGGGAAGACAAGCCAAGTCCTCAGAAGCCTTCAAGAGTAAGACCAGGAGCCAGTTCACCCAATGTACAATCTACATGTGTCGGGTGGTCCTCTTCCCTAAAAGATTGATGTCAATGCCATACCTGCTAAGCTCGCTGCTTAGGTTGGCGGGCTCAAACAGCATCCGGCACCAGACTTTGCTGCAGGTTGTGCACTGTAAAAATGGCTTCTGAGTGCTCATGGAGTTCACATGCTGCATAAGAACAAAGGCAAGCTGATAGGCATGCTGAACATTGAGCGAGAGAGAGAGAGAGAGAGAGAGAGAGAGAGAGAGAG